GACCCTCATTGTTATACAAAATTACATATAAGAGGTTGTGAGGGGAATGGGAAAATAAACAAGGAGAGAAATGAATTATAGTAGATGGGGTAGAGAGAGAAGATGGGAGGGGAGGGAGGATAGTAGAGGATAGGATAGGTAGCAGAATACAACAGTCACTAATATGGCATTATGTAAAAATGTGGATGTGTAACCGATGTGATTCTGCAATCTGTATTTGGGGTAAAAATGGGAGTTCATAACCCACTTAAATCTAAAGTATGAAATATGATATGTCAAGAGCTTTGTAATGTTTTGAACAACCAATAAAAAAAAGAAAAAAAAAACAAAAAAAATATTGCTGAAGGGCTGGGGGTGTGGTTCAGCGGTAGAGCGCTCGCCTGGAATGCACAAGGACCTGGGTTCAATCCTCGGCACCACATACAAATAATAAACAAACAAATAAATAAATAAATAATAAAGCTGAAAATTTTTGTTTAAAAAAATACTGCTGAAGTTGAAGATGCTACAAAAATGTAATTTAAAAACACACTTGGTACAATAGTTAATATATTTCATTTATCCTGAAAATCATGATAAACCAGTTAAGTGTAAATTATCTACAGATTTAGAGACAAATCTAAATGAATAAAAAAAATATGTGTCCTTCCTCACAACATAATCTGCATCCTTGGAAGGCTGCCAGACAGCAGGGTGGCAAGTATAAGCCTACTGTGGCTATGGTTCCCACTGGGGCTGAGCTGACCATGCAGATGCAGAGACTTCTACAAAAATCCAGCTTTTTAGGAGATGGTCCATTATTATTATATGGCTTATAGCATCCATGCTTCTATCAATCCTGTTTTCCTTTGTTTTACAACAAATTTCAGGGTACAATCCAAACATGTGGTTCTTCTGCTATACCAAACTTATCATAGTACTCAGCACTATGGATGTTGGCCAAATTTTCAATAAAAATCTTTTGTGAACAGCAACCAATAGATGAAGAACTGATTTCACTCTGAAGCAATTTATATTTCAAAAGGAGATTCACTTTTTTTTTTCAATTTCTTTTTCTTAAGGAAAAGAAACTGTCAAAAACTAATAACTGTGAATTGAGAAATCAAATCATTGGGTTGCTTATCAAATCAAGAAGAAACAGAATAAAATTTGAAGATACATACACATCACAGATACCCAAGCACACATGCACAGTATACATATGCATACACACACACACACACACACACACACACACACACATATAAAGAACATGAGCTTAGGTAAGAATTAAAAACAAAATACAACAGTTTATAGATTGTGTGTGTGTGTGTGTGTGTGTGTGTGTGTGTGTGTGTGTGAGAGAGAGAGTGAGAGAGAGAGAGAGAAATGGAGGGAGAGAGGGTGGGGAGAGATTCAGGAAAAATTAAATGGGATCAAATTTAAATTGAATAGATTCCTTTTTGTGGAATCAGAGCATCATATGCAATGTACAAGCAGGTATCCATGCAAGACAGACACATTTCAAGGTACAAAGTCAGGTGGGTCAAATGCAGGAAAAGCACTTCTTTCTAATATTACTGAAGAGATGCAGGCAGAAAAACCTGCTCCTAACCACCACATTTGCAGGTTATATTCCTCTTCATAGCCCATTCAAAATAGTGATCTATTTTCACAAGCACAGAAGTATCTATAAGATCACTGAAAATATATTTAAAGCAAACAATTTTCTTGAGAAATCATTTCACAGTGAAATGAAAATGATACCACTTCTTCATCACATAAAGTATCCTCAGAATCTTCCACATGTGAAATAACAATAGTCCAGAGCTGAAAGCTCTGTTTTCCCATCATTTACACTGATAATTGAAGTAGTGTAGGAAACATCTACATATTGATACTTTACATTTTTAATAAGCTACATAATAAATTCTGATCCTTAACTTTCCTATCTGACATATGTGAACAGAAATTCTTGATATAATCTCCTTAGATCAGACAAGAGCATAGTTATATATGATTTTATGTAATGTTACATTGATAATTATTTTTAAATTACTTTAATAATTAACTATCATACTTTCAACATTATCTTCGAAAATATATTTCCCAAAGTAAGTCATTAATAGGAACAGAAACAAGCCAGCAAATATAATATAGGAAAACAGAAAACTCTAGTTTTCTCATATTAAAGAAAGGTTCAGTTATTGCACACACTAGAGAGTATGAGCTTAGGCAGGATTTAAAAACAAAATACAACAGCTTATTTTAAAGCAGCTGACTATACAAGTCCCATACCTAATACAGTTCCGATCTTATTGGTTAAGACAGAATCTGTCTGTTCAAGCCATCCTCCACCACTGAGTCCTTCTTTAAACTTGATGAGAATAGACTGATTACTCAGCAGGACAACAAGAATCCTCATGGCTGCTGTCACTGTGGTGGAATGCAAATGTTCCTCCATAAACATCATAATCCAGTCAAAACCCAGTGTCTTGACCAGTTCTTCACAAGCTCTATCGAGTAATAGATGAATTCAAAGAAACAAAATTAATTTCAGAAATTAGTATTTCAAATTAAAACAAAAAAAATATGATTGGCTTTCATTCTCTAGCTACTATAAATTTCAGGGTTAAAAAAAAAGTCTATATAAAGCCAATGGCAATTTCATCTTTTGCTTGATGTGAAATAACTACTGATAGCAAATGTACCATCAATTCTAAAAATGTTTTACTTACTGAAAGTTAATGCTTGTTTTTTCTTTAGATGTATAAACTAGTTTTAGCAAGATATCTAGAAGTCTGTTCCTCAAAAGTATGAGATTAGCAGATACAAGACCTCCAAACTCTTCCTCAGTTCCTAAAATGAAAATAAATTACGTTAAATATGCTTAGCAGATAAATGAGAATAAAATATCCAAAGTGTTCTTTGAAATCTCCATGAAAAATGAATATATTAGAGAACATACTAGGTAGAATTACTTTCCATTAAAGTGGACAAGAAAAGGGTTAGTTAATCATTTCTCTTTAGAACCCTCTGAAAATTGTTCATTTACATCTAACACTGAAACTAGTGATAATGCCTTGATTATCACATTAATACTTCCCTCCCCTACTCAGCAGTGGGAAAGGCACTGAGTAAGGACTATATAAAAACAAACAAACAAACAAACAAAAAAAAAAACAGATCCTCAACCTCCCAGGTCATTAATTTCTAGCTTCTTTCTGAAGGACAAGTTAAATTATTAGATTCAAAAATTGAAAACAGGAAGCAATACTCAATAAATATCATACAGAAAGAGAGAATTACATAGCATAGAACAGGAACAAAGGCTCACAATGCACAAGAGACAGTAGAAAAGAAAAGAAGGAAAACAGGAGTTCAGGGGCCCTCAGTGGACAGATCTGAAAGCACATGGCTTGGGCAGCAGCATCCACTTCTTCCAGGCTAGCTACTTTGCTGGGGAAGTGCTGCAGGTGAGAGCCATAGTCTGCACACTTGCCTGTATATAGACAGAACTGATGTTCAGGCTGAATCTTACTGTGGTTATAAACTTTTATTTATTTAGGGACCCACTACTGAACTTCCTTTAAAAATGCTAATTTAGTGCTTTATTCATAATGGATGCTTCATGCTTACCAAAAGGAACAAGACCCTTGTCTTCCAAGGGGTCCAGACTGGTAATTTGCATACTGTCTTATCAAAAGCATATCCTATGATGTCAATTGCTATGAGAATAACTTCCTTTAAAATTTTCTCCAGAAGGTGACATTCTACAGAGAAACTTGATATTCCCTTGTCTATTTTTCTGTCAATTATGTCTCCCCAACTTTTCAAATATAGTTTAAAAAATAAATTCTGGAAAGAACTTTCAGATTAATTTTATCCCACTCAAAACTCTTACTTTATTCTACACTGCATATCCTTTTATGCTGTTTAATTATTTTGTATTGATTGGCATATTACTGTCCAGCATTATTCAAATAATTTTCTTGGTAGGTATGTCTATTAGAGAAATACTTGTTTAAAATCTCCAAGAAAAAGTGTGGTTTTACTTTTTGGAACATGCATGTAGTTAAGAGTTATCAGTTAATATTAAAAAAAAAAGAATATCATTCATCAACCAGAGTAGCAATGTACTTCTAACTTTCTGTTATTTCAAATGGCAATAAAGTGATGAGAATACCAATCTAAACAACTTGGTGGATCAACAGAATATTTTACTAATTTATACATTTCTACTGCTGTACTCAATATCAAGGAGGATTTTACCACACTCTGTCAGTACTGAATCCATTCATTGCTCAGCAAAAGATATACAGAATAGACAAATGTGCTACATATTTTCAATAATCTTTAAAGTATTTTCATTTCCTAATTCATAACTTACTCGGTTTATATTAATTCAAAACTTAGAAATATCTTTGCATATGGTAGGGTAAGTTAATAATGCTTAAAATGCTGGTTTTTAAGTTAAAAAGCTTAAAGTGCTGGTTTTAATCACCTTGTTTCAGATATGGTTATTGCTATGACCTTGTAAGTTTCTTTTACTTCTTTCTATCTTTCTAGGAGACAATTTCCTCCCTTAAAAAATTGGGACAGTAGTACCTCTATCACAGTGTGGTTGTGATATTATATAGAACACTTAAGTGTTCAATGAGTGTAGTCTATTGCTTTGATATTTACTGTTCTCATTCACTGGTAATTTTTGTTTTCCCAAAAAAATATCAATATTATTTCAAATGAACTAGCAGCAGGTAATTGATCAGGGGTCTTAGATTCTAGTCCTGAATCTGTCACCAACATACTCTGTGATCTGTAGCAATTCACTAGTTCTTACAAATCTCTTGGACTTTCCATTGACAGTTGTGACTACACCATTTTGTTTTATTCATGAAGCACAGGGGAGGCAGTGTTCAGGACAGGAGAGCCAACATGGAGGAGAATGTCTTTGCAAGGAGTGATATCACAATATTATGTCTCCCTCCACTATGTGGATAAGGTTTTGGAATATTAAGATGATCACGTATGTAATACAATTTTCAAATAATGTAATAGGGTAATGACACAGCAGAGTCATCCCTCAGGATCCACAGGGAACTGGTTCCAGTACTCCTCACATTTATGAAAATACACAGTATAAAATGAACTATTTGCATATAACCTATGAAAACCTTCCCAGATACCTCAAGCCTTTTTTAGATTACTTAAATATGGGCTATGTAAATGCCATGAAAATACTTGTTATATGTTATATAGTATTGTTTAAGGAATAATGACTAGAAAAAAATATATATATGCTCAGTACAGGAGTAATATTTTCCCCCTTAAATTCCAATATACAGTTGGTTGAATCACAGGTATAGAACCCAGGGATATGTAGAGCCAACTATATAATATTGAGAGTTTAATTTCAGAGATGAATCTAAAAGATTTTTTGAATGCTTTCTAGTCACCTTTCCTGTGTTAGAATATACAACAGAAAAATATGTGGAAACAGAGAGGGAAAAATGGGTATCCCATGAAAAACTTGCTTTCATGAACTCAGCAAAAAATTACGTAATTTTTCACAACTTAAAATTTTTATATTATATTTATATAAAATGATTCTAGAGAAATGTTCATTTTCTCAGTGATTATTATTAAATAGGGAAATGAAAATAATAGTATCATGGGTATAATTCACTCTTAGTCAAGTACTACATTTCTGAAGATGTATGTAAAATTAAAAATCAAATAATGTTAAAATTACACTAGAAGCATTTGCTATTTAAAGAAACATTGCTATGAACACTCTAATAATACAAAGGATTTTAGTTTTAAAGTAAAATTCACACTGTATTAAATTTTGTAGGCAATGTAATACTTCTGCACATTGTATGGGCTTGATATAAAAAATATATCTATGAAAGACCAAAAAAAAATGTAAGGAGGAAAGTTATGTAACACTAACATATAATTCAAATGTTCTTTGTGTCAGAAGAGAAAGGGGCACAGCAATTAATTGATCATAATTTTCTCCAAATTCCAGGATCCACTCACCCAGGTCAAGTTTCTCTTCATTATTTATTTCCATAACTACAAATTTCTCACAAACTGCAAAGGTTGGCAAAGTAGAAGAAATAAACTGGCCAAATCTTCAAATAAAAAAAGAAATCAAGTTATGGATTTCATTTTTCTTTCCCCCAAAGAAAGAGTAAAATATAAAGAAATTAAAAATTAACACTTTTTATTTTAACTTTTATAGATTTTTAAGTGATTTTATTTGGCTTGCTTCCTCTTGCACCATCCCCAATAGCAATATAAACAATGTTTTAAAAATATAGTTCTTCAGAAGTATGAATTCTTTAATGCACTAACTTAAATGGTTTCAAAAGACAAAACATGAGTGATTCAAGTTAAAATGCTCTAACATTATCTGTATAGATCCACTGTAGACTTGGTAGTTAATTTGGGATCTGGAAATAGTAGTACAGATCAAATCCTGACTCTAACACCTTTTAACAATGTGACAAGGGTCAAATGGTTTCATTTCTTTATTTATAAAGGGGAGAAAAACTTAAAACACTATAGGTTTTGGTGATAATTTCAGCAAAGCAATCATTACAATACTAAGAATAAATACTAAATAAACAGGGATTATAACTACAATATTCCAAATGAATTCTCAAACTCCAATTTTAAATGTCGCCAAGTTAAAAACATGTTTTCAAGGTATGTGTATGTGATGGCAGTGGCATGTGCACAATGAGTGTATGTGTGTGTGGGTGCGCATGAGTGCTTGTGCACATACACTTGAGAATTAGCGGAGTTAGGGGAAGAGGGCTGGGGACTGAACACTTTCATGTCTAGGCTAATCAATCTCATGGGGTTAATTCCCACATCTTTTCTCTCTAATATTCTATTATTCACTGGGGGCAACAACTAACTCTGCTTCATAAAAATAAAAGCAACATATTGAGGAATTACACATTTTTAATGCCTTACAAATATCATGGCATCAACATTACTGGTGTTATACTGGCATAATAACCAATTACATTCATCTCAATCATCTTAATCTCATTGGCACTTCTGGTTAATTAAAAGATTAATACAGAAGTTTTCACTACCTGAGCAGATCATTGCTGTTGGGAAAACCTTGTAGCAAGAAGCTCAGCACATTACTGATAGCAGCAATGGTAGGCTGGGATAAAGACATATCTCGAAGGGTCAATAGAAGCTTTGGGATTAACTGGAATTCCCTCATTAACTTGGCATTCTTGGAAGCTTCACTGTAAGAGAAGAAAGATTTAATATACTGTACTATCTTTTCTGTAGCTGAACAACTAACTACATAGGTATTAACTAATACCTGGACTCAGTGAGCAGTTCAATAAAGTGTTCAAATAAGGAAAGATGGAGTTCATATGGTGCATGGAGCCAGACCTATAACAAAAAAAACAAAACAAACAAAAAAAAACAGTGGTAGATTTAAAGTTAAAAAAAATTCCCAAAATGTAATTCTGACAAAAACAAAGACAGCACATGGAATTTATTTCACTTATATATAATTAACTGAATATAACCACTTTATAAATTTTTATTTTTGTAAAGTCCTACAAAACAGCTTGTACATAGAAATAATATCAATCACTACAAATAGGCAAAAAAAAGGACAGTTGATGGAATTATCATACTTAAAAAATCTGTTATAAATATGCTCTGCATGTTTAAAAATGTAACAAAAAGATGCAAATGAGGAGGAGAGAAATGGAAGATATCATAGCTACAAAACAAACTTCTAGACATAACAAAATAATTAAAATGGAAAATATATGCGTGACATTAATAGGAGATTAGATATTGTGGAAAGACAATTCAGGAAATTATTCAAAATGAAGTATAAGAAAAAAATACCAAAAATAAGTGACTAGATAGCACATTAGTGATTTGTGAAACAATATCAAGCAATCTCAAGATATATGGGATGTCCATAAAAGTAAGAAGGGCAGAAAAAATTTCAGATTTTATTAAAATGACAAATTTGCAAATCAACAAACCATGTCAAAGAAAGGTAAAGAAGACAATGGAGTGACTTTTAAGTGTGAAAAGAATAAAAATAGTCAATTAGACTTATATTGCATGCAAAAATATCATTAACAAATAAGGAATAAAGAAGGCTTTTTCCAGATAGGAGAATTCATTAACAGCAGACTGGCACTGTAAGAAATGCTGAAGGAAGAATTATGCAAGATGGAGATTTGGATTCACAAAAATGAATAAGGAGTGTCATAAACACCATATATATAGGCAAATAAAAAAGAATTTTTAACATGACTTTTGAAAGTAATTGAATTATTTAAAGCAAAAACACTATAAACTATTGTGGAGATTATCAACATATAGAAGCTAAAGTAGAAAACAATGGAACAAAGGGTGAGAGGGAAGAAATGGAAAATATGCTACCAAAAGGTATTTACAAGGTATATTCAAAGACAACAAAATTTTCTGGATGCATATAAAAAGTTTAGGAAAACCAGTACAAAGGAAAATTTTTGTATGCTGTTTTAATTATTTATATTTGTGAAGTGGCTTTTTAAAGAATAGGATAAATTAGGTATTTATAGATTATTTATGGTTTGGGGTAATAAAGGATTATATAAAGTCATAAAGTACTCAAGATACTATGAAATGAAGCCAAAGTTTGTTAAGCAATTGCATTTCTGATGTTTTCTTATTAGATTTTAATCAGATAGCTATAAATAAAGCTAATTCACGATTTGAATCTGTCAGTTACCAAATGAAAACAAAGTTAGGCTGGATTAGATAAATCTCTTAACTCCTACATAATCCTTTCTGCACACCCTCCCTATCTCTATATTTCCACAAGTATTTAATCAGCTATTTTTCTCTTCTAATGAACTGAACATTGTGAGGCATGGACTATATATTTTATTTTTACATCTTTAGCAACTAACATGGGGCTTGGTTCAAAAATATTCAGTAAATGCTTTCTTAAAGGAGAGGGTTAGGTATTAGTAGTCTGAATACCAAGCTAAGAAATATATATACTTCATTGTGTAAGAAAGGGAGTTCACTGGGATTTAAGTAAGTAATATGCCTTTAAAAAAAAAAAAAAAACTAGATGACAAAGGTAGACATGATAGCCTGAGGAAATGTGGAAAAAAGTGAACTATCCTAGGAGAAAGAGGAGACCTGACTGGGGCCAAGATTAGGATGTAGCAGCAGAAGCAAAAGAGGAAGACCATGAAATGTGAAAGAAGAGTCTACATGATTTTTGTGTCAGACTGTTTATAGACAGGGAGGAAGAAGGAAGCTGATTTTATAATTTCAAGCCTAGGGAATGGTGGTATTATTAATAGAAACAGAAAAGTTAGAAGAAAGAACTAATTTGGGGAGGGATGTTAAGTTCAGTTAAGGTATTGCTGCTGGGACACTAAAATGGAAATGTTGAGAAAGAAGTAAGAAATAAGTCTGGAATTCAGGTGTCAAAGTTAGAGATTTAGATTAGAAAGTTAACTCCATAGAGATGAGACTGTGGGATTAGGTGAGACAACATAAAACCTCAACAAAATAGTCAGAAAAAAAATGAACATCTTTCCATAAAATCATGAAAATTTTATGGTCAGAAAATTTTACTAAAATTAATGAGAGGGAAAAAAGAACTAGGACAATGTTGCCTGAAAACTGGCAAGAGATGTAGGAGATACAAGAAGAGGATAAGGAACCACATCAAATGCTATTGAGAGCTATGGAGGCTGATAAGTGAGTACGGGCCATAGATTATTATCCTCATAGGTAAGACAATCTAGTTTCAGTAAAACAGGTAGGGCATGCAGCCCGTTTTCTGGGATTCCATAATCGAGGGAACAGCATATAATAATTACAAGGAAGAGTTAGGGCCTAGTACCATATCTGTGAACATTAGATGCTATCACCATTCTGGTAGCAAAGAAACAAGTCAAGGAAGACAGACATAATCTCTGCTCTCATAAAGCCTGGAGATCCTTCAGTTTTCCAGGGATGTAATGTATACATTTCTTGCATATTGATTAATATGAAGAGTGGGATGAAAAAAGAAGTGAGCTAAAAGGATAAACGTGATTAAGGATAAAATGATTAAGTGGGACCTTCAGAGGACAGAGGGCAAGCTTCATGGGTGATAAGACAGCAAAAGTGGAAATCTTGTTATTTTGGCAAAACGAATGATATTTTACCATATAGTTTGTATTAACCCAAATTATAAGTCCAGATGTCTATTTACTGTAGAAAAGTTTCTATCATAATTATTTGAAGAAAACATTTGCCTCCAAATCACCAGTGCAGCAGTGTATTAACTAGCTTAGGTAAATGTACTGCACCATTTCATTTCTATGTTTGTAGAGTAGAATATATCTGAAGAGAAAGAAATTCTGCTCTTTATATTTTACTAAACAATGTTAGCACAATAATCATAAAATTATAAAACTTTAAACACATCTTAGGGATAAAAGTGTTTATTATACAAAATTTAAAAATGGATTCATTGACTACATGCTACCATCCAATGTTTATATACATACTTCAAAATCACAAAGCAGGTCCTGGAAAGCAGTTGAATTGGGAATAATGGAGGTCTCATGTCCACTATCAACAGTTCCCACCAAGGAGAAAGTTAGATGGAGGATGTGGCTATTAAGAAGGGAACGTTTCTTTTTAAGCAGCATTGCCAGTAACTGTAAGAAAGTAACAACAAATGCCTTTTGTTAAATCACCATGTATGTATATATATCACTCACACTCACACACATACACGACACATATGAAAATACATGTAGAGTAATGAGGCCTCTGAACTGATTTCTAAATTTTTATTGTGTCAAATACAATAATACAATTAGAGAAAATCTAAAAAACAAAATAATCCTAACACTCTACTAAAATATATTCCCATATAAATATTTGAATAGTTGTTCCTATCACAGGCATTTGTACTCTTTTTCTCTATACAAAAAGACTTTTTCTTTTGCAACATAGTCTTCATAATTACAATGTAAAAGTCTAAATGCTATTCTATGGGACAATAATAATACACTCAGTCATTTTCATACATTTGGTACATTTATATTATTCTTATTTTTTCATGGTGAAAAATGCTACAATAAATGTTCTGAAAGTGTTATAAAACAAAAACATTTACAAAAATAAAGTATAATTAAATTAAATTTATACAACATAGTAAGTAGCATACTCACTACTAATGAACTAATTGCTAACGCTGTAGGACACATATGTGTTTCATCTATAATAGAGGAATTTAATCTTGCTCCAAATACTTGTTTCAAATTACTTTTCACAAGTAATTTTATTTTGCTGAATTATGTTACTAGATGTGTATGGATGAATGCTGTGTATTTAAATTTCATGTGGGTTTTCAGGAATAGCATGGCACACTTAACTCTGCACTGGCTCCTGAACAAGTAAGAGAATTAGAGGAGGACAGGGCATGAGATGGAAGGAACCACAAGAAAAAAGGGAATAGTGTGGATTGATCATTGATCTGGCAATCTCTCTTTCTTAGGGAGTAATATGACCTGATTTAATTTCATTTCCATTTCCACAAACAAAAAAAAAATATCCAAATAAGCAAACTATTGATCTAAAAATACAGTTGGGTCTCTATATTCATGGATTCTACAACTATACATTTAACCTAAACTTGGATCAAAAATATAGAAAAAAACCCGGATATTTTTATTGTCATAATTCCCTAAACAAAATAGTGTAACAACTATTTACGTAGAATTTAATCTACATAGTTTTAGGTATTATAAGTAATCTGGAAATGATTTAGTGCTTACGGGAGGATGTGCACAGATTATGCACAAAAACTGTGGCATTTTATGAGACCTGAGCATTTACAGATTTTGACATCTGTTGGGAGATCCTGGAACTAACCCCCATGAACAGTAATGAAAACTATATTCAAATGTACCAAAGCTATGTGGAAACAATGTAGCTTACTTCAAAGGTGTAGTGTGTAAGACTAGATAAGAATGGATAAAAGGATAAACTGAAACAAAGAAAACTTGTTCTCATTTGGCATGTACTACTTTTAATAAAAACAACACTTTTTAAGTACACTTGGACAAGTGTATTCCTCTAGATCTTGAAAAAAAAAACATGAACAATAGAATATCCTTTGATGTGAAGTGAAGGCAAAGGTTACAAACCTGGTAGCCCTTGATTCTTTCCATTTCTTTGCTGGCCAGTGGGTTACTCTTGACCACACAAACCAGGGCCTTGACCGCTGCATATAACCCTTCCACATCAGAGGCCATGGCCACTAGGCCCAGGATGGCTGCAGCTCCACCAATGTACTGCAAAGTAGTGGCAACAGGCTTAGGAACAAATGTTCTTACTCCTGATTAAAAGATAGTGAAAAATAATTAAAATAAATTTACCACACAAACAAGAACTGAATAAATCATCTTAAGTAGTTTGCTTGTAACTGTAACTTTTATTTTAAAAAAGTTTTTCTGTCCTAATATTCTAACAAAATGAAACAATTAAAGGTAGAGTTTGGGAGAAGACAATAATGTTAATATACATACTATCAGAGAAGGGTCAGGTGTAAAGAAGAAAGTAGAGAAGAACTGGGTTTCAGAGCAAGTACCAATATAGCCACTGTGTGGCATTGGGTAGCATACAGACTGAGGTGAAAGTGCCTTATTAGATTCTTTGGGTAATATACTCAGGGGAATTCTGTGAACTGGGGAAGGAGTCACAGAAGCCACTCTGGCAGGGATGAAGTACTTCCTACAGATAAGCCAAGCCAAGTAAAGCACATTACTCACAATTATTAAAGGCTTCTCCTTGATCAGTAATTTGAGTCACAACATCAGTGAGTCCAGGAGAGAACCTGACTTTGAAAACTACCTTCTATGGTAATCAGGGCCAGTATTATTATTTCATAGGTGAGAAGACTAATGGCATAGAGCTTAAAACCTCTGGGCTAATGTCACATAGTTACAACCTAAGTCCTTATTCACTGCATTCCACTATATCACACCACTGCTACATTTCTGAAATGGACAAAGAGCAGTGCTCAAGGAAAACTACCATATGCTTTAGTGCAAAGGAAACTGTTTTAACAGTGCAACATTATGAAAAAAGAACAACAAAGTTAAAATTTGTGTACATCACTAGGAGTTAAAAATTGTCAAGGACTGACTGGTGGTAAGCACCTCTACTCCCAGTAACTTGGGCAGCTGAGGCAGGATGATCACAAGTTCAAGGCCAGCCTCAGCAACTTAAGAATACTGTGTCTAAAATAAAAAAATTAAAAAGGGCTGGGGATATAGTTCAGTAAAAGAGTACCCTGGATTTAATTCCCAGTACCACAAAAAATAAAAATAAAATATTGCCAAGAACTGATAAACGTCCTTGCTGGTAGGATTTGGATCAGTATTATAGCAACTTTTTGTTAATCTACAAAGGAACCAATATTACTTACTGAAGTATATATTAAAAGAAATAATAACTGGTTCTGAATTTTAGATGGACTGGTGGGATAATATCTTAAGATCCTATCCAGCCAAAACAATTTTTTAAGTAAATTGCATACATAAGGCTCTATAGAATGACATATCAGCTCTAAGTTTTATTACAGTTAGATTTCACAAAAGTTCTTATTTTAAACTCAGTACTAAATTAACAAAAGAATTCATGAACAAAATCACTGATAAACCAAACCATGAAAGAATAAATAATAGTTCTAAATACTTTGTTGTTGTTGCAGGGCCAGGGATAGAACCCAGGGCCACATCATGCTCTGCAAGCACTCTACTGCTGAGCTATACCTATGCCCCTAATAGTTTAGAACAGTTTGAAATTTACTGGAAAACATCATAGTAGCATATAGTCAGTGTTCATCAGTGCTGACAAGAGGGAAAAGTTAATGAGATTTTATAAAAGGTAGACCTGTTTTTAAAGTTGACTGGAATATGAGGTTGTTACATTAATCTCTAAATACTTCAAGACTGCTACAGGTCAAGAATTAAAAATGATGCATTTAAATATTACCTCTCAAGTGAGGAAAGTTAATTTAAACTCAAGGCAAATAAAAAGTCTTAACAAACTAAGGCAGTTTAACTCACCCAAATATCCAATCAGAGTAGCCCCAATTGTCCGTGCAGGTCCATTAAGGTGTCCTGCTGAATTGTGTATCAACTTCACAGGGGTGGCATTCTCGTGGGAGGAAATGCCTAACTGAAGAATAGGAAAAGAAAATAATGTAATTATAGAAGAACAGCCTGACTCTTTTGATTGGAAAAGAAACAAACTGTAAGATCGTTAATATATATTTTCTCTCTTTCTATAAGAATATTTTTAAACTTTTTTTTTAATGGGCAAACACTTCCAAAGTAGAAACTCTCAAAAAGTAAGTTAAATACAATTTACTAATGACCAGGAATCCTGGGACCCAATTTCAGGGATCCTTCTGAGTGAAGCCTATGGCATGGTTTATACATCACTCAGTGCCTCACAGCATCCCAGTCAATGAACATATTAACATCCAGAACAAGTATACTTAATTCATGACAATTATCAGAGTTTGAAGATAAAATATTTACATAAGAAAAGGATATGTCAAATTTCTGTAGGTAGGCATGCATGTACACACACATACAATATAATGTAAGAAATATAAAAGCAAGAAATTTACTTTTTATTCACTGCTGTTTCTTGAATAAAAGTGCCTGGCACACAGTAGGTGGTGGATAAAAAAGATGTTGAGTGATAATTTTAAGAATAGCAATTGCTGGGCTTCTTCATTGCCAATATAAATACAAGAATACAAATCATGTTTAATTTCATATAAAGAAATTCTCACATTATCAAATTAAGCTAAATATCTACATGTGTTTCACTTAAATCAGGAGCCAGATAAACCAACACACAGGGAGTCAATGTGAAAAGGACTGAAATAAATATGCTAATTAGAGCCCACAAATAAAGACACGACGAAGCAGAAAGAGTTATTTGCAAGAATAATTGGCTATCAATTCAAGATGTTCACTGAATTCCAATCAAGTTTCTCAAAAGACTTGGGATATCATACTCAAATTGCTGAAGACCAAAGATAAAAAGAAAAAATTGAAAGCAGCCAGAGAAAAATAAGTTGACATACTTAGAGTATATAGTCAGAAACTCGAAGACAAGAGGGCAATGGCACAGTAGAACAACATTTAAAATGCAGACAGAAAAAACTTGTTATCAAAGAATACTATATCTAACCATCTTGTACATCCATTCATTCTGTACAACCATGAGAATGGAGTCCTAACTAGAATAAGATATAGCCCATGACTGTATAATTAATACAAAGTGAATTCTACTGCCGTGCATAACTAAAATATCCAGTAAAAAAAAAAAACATAAATACAGTATAAAGGAAAGACTATTATATCTAAGGATGAAGACCATCCTGTCATTGTATTGTTGTTGTATCAAATGATCAGCAACTTAGTAACTTAAACAAATTTATTATCTTATATTTCTGAAGGTCAAAAGTAGAAAATGAATTTTTTGAGGTGAGGCGTTAATCGGGATTGAACTCATGGACACTTGGCCACTGAGCCACATCCCCAGCCCTATTTTGTATTTTAGAGACAGGATCTCACTGAGTTGCTTATTGCCTTGCTTTTGCTGAGGCTGGCTTTGAACTTGAGATCCTCCTGCCTCAGCATCCTGAGCCACTGGGATCACAAGCATGCAGCCACCACGCCCAGCTAAAAAATGAATTTCAGCGGGCAAAAACCAAGGTATTGGTTCCTTTTAGTGGCTTTGTAAGAGAATTTATTTCCTATCTTTTTCAGCTTTTATAGGCTACTGTAGCATTCTTTGGCTAACTGCCCCATCTTCATCTTTAAAGGAATGGAAGCTTGAATCCTCTCATCATATAGTACCACTCTGGCTTATTTTCCTTAGTTTTATCTTTGGGGACCCTTGTGAGTCAATTGGTACCATGTGAACGTTTAAGATAATTTTCTTACCCTAAGATCACTCAATTACCTATTTCAATCCTCTATCTGCAACCTAAATCCCTCTTTTCCATGTAAAGCAACATAATATATTCACAGGATTAGGATATGGATGTATCTGAGGGCCTAAATATAATGAATATATTAAGATGCTAAATAAATAAATTTTAAATTAAAAGTAAATGAAATAAAATAAAAACAGTGCTGTGTCAAGCTCTCTTTTTAGAAGTCACTCTAAATGAGGCTCTAGCATAGCTTTCCAGTGAGAATCAGCCATAGTTACTGGGAAGTTTTTCTGCTTACCTGTTTAGCAATGGCTTTGCTATCCAACTTGTTATACACTTTCCGGATTCTCGCTACTGTCAAGGAGGACACAGATAGTGCATAGAGACCAAAGGACACCTTTTCTTCTGGAACTAACGACACAGGAGAAGGGATAACACCTTCGGATTTTGCATCTTTACCTACAAAAGAATAATTCTTTTCAGAATAATCCGTTGTTTTCCCTATCCTAATACAAAGTTTTTATTCTTTTATTCTTACTATAATTTTATCAGTGGGTGAAGCTGAAAATCTTTTCAAGTTGGAATAAGGAACCTGAACTTAAAAACTATTTTACTTAATTTTTAGCTTTTCACTTATTTCTCTCATTAGAAATTAGGAACAACTATTTAGTCATAAGACCTTACATTTCAAGTTTAAAATATGCTCAACATATAGCATAATGTGAAGGAAAAAAAAATAATTTTATCTAACAAATTGTAAAATATCCCTAAGAATAAAGGGAAGGAAAACAAGTGGAATATCTGTGAGCTTTGCAGTACTTGATCTCTTCAGCACGAAGATCAGCTATGCCTCTCCAGATTCATCTGGACAATACAGCACAGAAGTGAAGAGCATACATTTTGGAACTAAATGCTCTGAGTTTCAATCTTGTTTTACAACTTAAAAGCTGGGTGACCTGCGTAAATGTGCCTTAGTTTCCTCATCTGCAAAATGGGGATGACAATGACAGTTCCAACTCAATGTTCTAAGATGAATATGAGGGGCTCATAACAAATATGTCCTTCATGTGTACTAACTTACTTATCACATGCAAGTGCTCAGTAAGCGTCAGCTCTTATTATATGTTATTTAATCAAGAATATGAATAAAAGGACAAATTACATAGTCATATGATTTTTTTATTCTACAATATACTTGTCCTGACTCTTTTGAGACCCTTGGTAGAACCAGAATAAGGCAAAGAAAGACATCACTTAAGAAGGGCAACTACAAATCAATTTCAGCCTAATATTAGTTTTTTTATTTTATATATCTTTTGAGAGAAAACATAATAAAAAATGGACTATAGGAATAAAAGGATGAGGAAAAATGATGCTAATTGGCTAGTCACAAGAATATAGGTTTATCTGAACCCACTCTAACAAGAGTAGCAACACTTTAAACTGCTTCATGTAATAGGAAAAATTGTAGAAAGAGAACAGGGTTAAGGTTAGGCTCTTAAAGAGTATATACCTACATCTTTGAGCCAATAAGAGAACCTGGAAAATAAGCAACAAAGAATAAAGACAAAGAATCAGGAAAGTGCAATAAGATCAATGGAGGAGAACACTGCAAAAACAAGTGAAAATGGTTAATAGAATCATGTTAAGGGAAATTAGGAGAGAAGGTCCTTTTCTCAGATAAACATGCACAGTTTTATATACACATACACATCTATGCTGCATGGGTTGAGCCTCATTCAACTTTGAGAACTATGAGTAAGTTACTCACATGGCATGCACACAGCCTGAAAGCTTCCAACATAATTTGGTCCAAGTTCATAAATGGTAGTAATATTTGAAGGAGGTAAAACTTCTTCTAGAAAATGGGTAGGTCCCAGGCGCCAAACCAATGAAGCAATCTGGCGTTGTGCAGGTGGAGTGCCAATGTAGGCATAAACTGTGCTCACCACGGGGGGATTCACAGAGCCTGAACCCCCAGGAGTACTGTGAACATAATGAAGCTACAAAGCAGACAAAACAAAGGTGTGAGATGAAGAAAAACATTTTTACCAGGAAACTAATTAGTTAGCCTGTATATTTTCTCATGGTCACCCAACTTTACAAATGTATAAATACAGGTTGAGAAAACTAAGAACAGGGTAAGATTCTGGGATCTGTAACCACAGATGAAAAGATGATATCAAATTCTCAAAGAAAATGAAACTAATGCTAGAAATGGTAATAACTGAACATAGAAATACTATCATTGTCTGGTTGTTCTGCATGTCAAACTAATGATGCTTCTCTGAAAATTTAGGGTTAATATAAAAAATAGAGAGCTTCCTACTATGGAATTAATGCAGTCTTAAAATTAGTCATAGGGCTGGGATTGTGGCTCAGTAGAGTGCTTGCCTAGCATGTGTGAAGAACTGGGTTCTGTTCTCAGCACCATATATAATTAAATAAAATAAAGGTCCATTGTCATCTAAAAAGTTATATTAAAAAAATTAGTTGTAACATTCATTGTGAGTMTGTTAACTAAAGTTATGGATGAAAATGTCTTATAGGAGTGAAGAGTTGTAAAATATTAGAGAAAATTTAGAAAAATRAAGTCTATGTTTAGTCTCCATGTAAAACAATAACCCTTACTGACTGACATTCTCAGATTTGAAATAACACTTCTGTTTACTGACAAGGTGCCTAACATCAATCATTTATAATAAATCTATAATTAGATAGGRTATAAGATAAAAGGAAATCAAGTTGCTCCTTATACAAGCAGATCTTATCACCTAATGAAATGAGAGAGACACTTCCATTGACTRTTTTGTCATAACATCATCCCAGCGTTAGATCACATCCATGATTCTATATATTARAGAACAGTCTCAGGTGATATTCATACAAGACTATGACAACTCATAGGGACAGCAATGATGATGATGTAAATATATCAGTGATTAATCTCCTMTCCCTCAACTCTAGAAACTGAGGACATTTTTGTTTTTAGTGATGGTAATATTAGAAGCAACCTACTAGACAATCTACAAACTCGGTTTAAATGTAGTCATGTAAATGAAGAAATAAAAAATGATGCMCATGGGATGTGTTTTGGAGTTTATCATAATGAAACATTATGTTGTAATTGGAACACTATTATCATAAGGAAGGAAATATATTCACAGAAGCTGTTGTTCACACAGGACACAACTTTGCCTTTGT